ACTCGGGGTCTCCCCCCCACGCGCCCTCCTACATTGGGGTGCTGTCCCCCCCCCCCCGTCCTCGCTGCATGGGGGGTAGTTTGTGAGCTCTCACCTCGGCGGAGCCCCTCCACCCTGAGGCGGCAGCTCCAACGGAAGGAGCGGGGGTCGCCCACCCCCCACACCGAGGCCCAGGCTACCGCACTTACCTCAGCACGCGCCCCCCTCCCCGAGCTGGCGGCGGCGGCGGCGCAGCGCGAGGAGGTGAGGAAGATAACGGCCGCGCCCCCCAGACCCCCCACGGCAGCGCCGCCCCCTCCCGCGCCTCCTGCCAGCCCCGCCCCCTGTAGAACGCGGGCTCCGCCTCTCGCTCCGTCACTCCCTGCCCCGCCCCTTCGGACCGCCCCGGAGAGCAGCGAATCAGAACCAGCCAGCTGGTTGCTAGGTAGAAGAGCCGGCACGCCGCGGCTCGGCCCTGATTGGCTGCTTCTCCCGGGGCGCTAGAAACTGTTGCCATGGCAAAGGGAATAAACTTGCCGGGAGAAGAGGAGACGGGGGGGCCGTAGAGGGGGGCGAGGCGCGGCTCCGGAGCACAGGAGGCCAGGTGAGAGCGTGGGGGAGGGGCGTATCCCCGCCAGGGGCATCGTGGCGACGGGAGGCGATAGGGGGTATCGATATCACGGGGGGGGGCGCTCGGGGTATCGCCCCCATGGCGGTCAGGGGCACTGGGGTATCGATTCCCGAGACACGGGGGGCGGGGTTTCTGGGGAGGGCGAGGACTGGTGCCATAGGGCAGCCCTTGGATTTACCATCTGGGGGAGGGGGATGGCTATCGCAGGGCATGGGGCGCACCAGGGGTGCAGGGGACACTGGGAATTCTTCATGATGCCGGACATGGGGGCACAGGGAGTTATGGATGGAGGGCATTGGGAGATATTGGTACCACAGGACAGAGGGGGGCACTAGGTATGGGCAATGCTGGGGGCGTGTATTGGGGGATATCACTGCTGCAGGATGATGTGGGGATACTGGTGCCGGAGGGGGGCAGGGGGAGCACTGGGGGATATCAGTGCTTCAGGGGGATATTAGTTGCAGGGGAACACTGGGAATGTATAGAACCACAGGGGCCATTGCGGGGCATATCAGTTCCATGGGGTGCAGGGGGAGAACTGGAAATATACAGTGCAGGGGCACTGGGGGATGTCAGGGTCCAGGGAGCACTGGGAATGGGCAATGCTGTGGGTGCATGGGGGAGGGGGATATCAGTGCTGCAGGGTGAAAGGGGGAGTAATGGAGGGAATTGATGCCATAAAGCACAGGGGCACTGGAGGCTGGCAGAATGCAGGAGAGCTGATGGTTTTGATGCCATGAAGAGCACAGGGCTTTCAGTGCTGCAAGGCCCAAGATGGACCCTGGAGAGGATCAGTGCCATGGGGCATTGGTGGAGGTTATAGATACCCCAAGGCAATGGGGAGCTGTGGGAATTAGAGACTGTGAAGGGCACAGGGGGTATCAATGCTATAGGGTACCAGGGGCACTGAGGGGTATTAATACTGCAGAAATAATAGGGAGTATTGGTTTCATGGGGTGTGGGGAGCACTGGGGTATCCATGGCACATGCCACAGCAGGAGACTTGGGAGGAATTGATGCCGAGGGCGGCACTAGGGGCTATCAATGCTGTGGGAAGCAAAGGGGATGTAGATACTGCAGGGCAGTAGGGAGTATCAACTCTATGGGGCTGTATGCGGGACTACTGATGCTGCAGAGCACAGGGGGCAACAGGGGAGTTTCACTGCCAAAGGTCATGCAGGGGGGAGGGAAGAGGGCTGCAGGGCTATTAATGCCACAGGGTGCAAGGAGCCCTGGAGGTATCAAAGCCCCACAGTGCAGGGAGCACGGGGTGGGGTGTATCACTGCTGTGGAGGCTCAGGAGATATCAGTGTACCCTGTTTGGGGGCATTAAAGCTGTGGGTCACAAGTAGAGGATGTGGGAGGGACTGATGTCATGGAGGCCCTGCGGGGATCATTTCAACCAGTAAGCACGTAGATGATCAATGCTGTGGGGAGTAGAACTGGGGATATCAGTGCCCTGAGGAGGGTATCAGTGCCTGGAGTGGAAGGGGGTATTGATAATATTGGGCATGGGGTTCTCACAGGTATTGAGACCACTGGGGATGTGAGGGTGTCAACTCTGGAGTACTGAAGGGTGTCAATGCCATAGGGTAGTTGTTAGCAGAGGGGTCACTTAGTGGGACACAGCACCTTGCAATGAGATGCAGCAGCAAGAAGACCAAACTTGTACTTATTTTGCTGCCCATCCACTCAACTGCTTTCTAGGTTTCTCTCTCTGTTTCAAATGATTTTTCCCCAGATCAATCCTCTTGCAGTGTCTCATGTTGAATCTCATCTACTTAGTTAGTCTATAAGGTGCCACAGGACTCTTCGTTGCTTTTCTCGTATACTTTGTTCTTTTTGGTCTATATACTCTAATCTCTGTGGCTCACCTTTCTATTACTATGGTTTGCAACACTTGAAATCCACAGAGGACAGTATATGTGAATTAACTACTGTTGACTCCCAGGATGATCATTTACAAGCAGTCCTCTCTTCTTTTCTAAGCCTTTGGCCAGGTCTACACTAACCCCCTAATTCGAACTAACGCACGCAACTTCAGCTACGTGAATAACGTAGCTGAAGTTCGAAGTACCTTTGTTCGAACTTACCTCGGTCCACACGCGGCAGGCAGGCTCTCCCGTCGACTCCGCGGTACTCCTCTCGTCTAGCTGGAGTACCGCAGTCGACGGCGAGCACTTCCGGGTTCGACTTATCGCGTCCAGACAAGACGCGATAAGTCGAACCCAGAAGTTCGATCGCTCGCCGCCGAACTACCGGGTAAGTGTAGACCTACCCTGAGAGTTTGGTTAGTTCATTCCAGGTAAAAGTCACACTTATACCATCATGTGGTTTATGGTTGTTAGATTATTTCTATGTAACATGTGTTTTTAAACCTCTGGGTACATGAGTCTCTGATGAGCCAGGAAGGCTTAATAAAACAGTGCCTCTGCAAGACTTACTCTGACTATGATTGGCAGAAGGCGAAGGCCCGGGAATGGTATTCCAGAGGGTTAAGCCTAGATTAACATAGCTAAAGGAAATGAGTTTAATGCCTTAGTTAATATGATCTGATCATACATAGCATTAATCTTTCTTAAATGCAATCAAATTATTTTTTAAAACAAAGGGTTTGACCCAGCTCCTATTGAAATAAAAGAGAGTCTTTGTTATCTTTAATGGGAATTGGATCAGGGGGAATGAAAGTGCAGTGCTTGTAATGCTAGGAGATGATTGTGGTTGGTGCAGATGATGCACTATGGAGGTTTAAGATAATTATCTGTTGCTTTGCAGGCCTCTGTTTGCTTTCAATTAATACTACCGTCTCCCTGTGTGATGAGGCATTCCCAACTGAGGTTTACACAGGTACTTAAGGGAGGGATCATAAAAGCAGCTGTTTAAGGAACCAAAAAGGGTGCTTAGGGAGTTGGCTGATGTGATTGCAGAGCCATTGGCCATCATCTCTGAAAATTCATGGCGATCGGGGGAGGTCCCGGATGATTGGAAAAAGGCAAATATAGTGCCCATATTTTAAAAAGGGAAGAAAGAGAACCTGGGGAACTACAGATTGGTCAGCCTCACTTCAGTCCCCAGCAAAATCATGGAGCAGGTCCTCAAGGAATCCATTTTGAAGCACTTGGAGAACAGGAGGTGATCAGGAACAGTCAGCATGGATTCACCAAGGGCAAGTCATGCCTGACCAACTTGATTGCCTTCTATGATGAGATAACTGGCTCTGTGGATATGGGGAAAGCAGTGGATGTAATATAACTTGACTTTAGCAAAGCTTTTAATACGGTTTCCCACAGTATGCTTGCTGGCAAGTTAAAGAAGTATGGATTGGATGAATGGACTATAAGGTGGATAGAAAGCTGGCTAGATTGTCAGGCTGAACAGGTAGTGATCAACTGCTCGATGTCTAGTTGGCAGCCAGTATCAAGCGGAGTGCCCCAGGGTTGGTCCTGGGGTCGGTTTTGTTTAACATCTTTATTAATTATCTGGATGAAGGGATGAATTGCACCCTCAGCAAGTTCGCAGATGACACTAAACTGGGGGGAGAAGTAGATATGCTGGAGGGTAGGGATAGGGTCCAGAGTGACCCAGACAAATTGGAGGATTGAGCCAAAAGAAATGTGATGAGGTTCAACAAGGACAAGTGCAGAGTCCTGCACTTAGGAAGGAAGAATCCCATGCACCACTACAGGGTGAGGACCAACTGGCTAAGCGGCAGTTCTACAGAAAAGGACCTGGGAATTACAGTGGATGAGAAGCTGGATATGAATCAGCAGTGTGCCCTTGTTGCCAAGAAGGCCAACGGTATATTGAGCTGTATTAGTAGGAGCATTGCCAGCAGATCGAGGGAAGTGATTATTTCCCTCTATTCGGCACTGGTGAAGCCACACCTGGAGTATTATGTCCAGTTTTGGTCCCCCAACTACAGAAGGGATGTGAACAGATTGGAAAGAGTCTAGCGGAGGGCAACGAAAATGATTAGGGGGCTGGGTCACATGACTTATGAGGAGAGGCTGAGGGAACTGGGGTTATTTTGTCTACAGAAGAGAAGAGTGGGGGAAGATTTGATAGCAGCTTTCAACTACCTGAAGGGGGGGTTCCAACGAGGATGGAGCTCAGCTGTTCTCAGTGGTGGCAGATGACAGAACAAGAAGCAATGGTCTCAAGTTGCAGTGGAGGAGGTCTAGGTTGGATATTAGGAAACACTATTTCACTAGGAGGGTGCTGAAGCACTGGAATGGGTTATCTAGGGAGGTGGTGGAATCTCCATCTTTAGAGGTTTTTAAGGCCCGGCTTGACAAAGCCCTGGCTCGGATGATTTAGTTGGGGTTGGTCCTGCTTTGAGCAGAGGATTCGACTAGATGACCCCCTGAGGTCTCTTCCAACCCTAATATTCTATGATTCTATGAAAGAAGAGCCTGTGTAGGAAGAAGGCTGTCATCTGTGAAACCAAGGTTGGGATTATTTTTGTTTTTGTTTTGATGCCTTGATACTAACTTCTCTCTCAGAACAGGAACATGACTGCCTGACCCTGTTTTTTTGTTTGTTTTTGTTTTGTAATGAACTGCTTCACCAGCCTGCAGTGTTATTGTAAGCACTGTCCTTCCCATGCACTGGATGAGGCCAGGTTGCTGTAGAAAAAATATTATGTTATCATGTAGGTTAAAACTATATCAGTGCAATGCAGAAGGAAGCCAAATTAAGGTTACACAGACCACCTTAATTCTGGCATTTCTTAACTTTGGAGTGCTTGACTTTGCAACCTGTCATCTAATTACAATAACTGCTTTAAGAAACTCCCCACTAAAAAGAAACCAGGAACTAGGAGTAGGGTGACCAGACAGCAAGTGTGAAAAATCGGGACAGGTGGTGGGGGATAATAGGCGCCTATATAAGACAAAGCCCCAAATATCAGGACTGTCCCAATAAAATCGGGAAATCTGGTCACCCTAACTAGGAGTCCTGTCAGAGTCTCCTGATCTAGCTATTAAACCATATTGCAGCAAAAGATAGCGAGGACAGGAAGTGTGTATGTTTTACCGGTTCTCTTCACTCCTCTGCTGCCATCATATTTGTAAAGAAATAGAAAAATACAAGGAAAGGGTGATCTGCTGGGGCTGATCCTGCGGCATTTTCAGACGCAAAGAAGGGAATCTTGACTGGATAAACTGCAGGATTGGATTTTCCGTAAGGTTTTTCTTGGGAGCATCAGAGTGTGTTTGTATTGGCAACGTGTTATACAAAGGTGTTTGCTGAAGGTTTTGTAGTACTTGGAGGTATGGCAAGATAGCAATATATACTGTATCAGAGTTAGCTTTTCTTTTGTTCCAGAAGTCCTAAATCATCCTGCCATCATGAAAGCTTTAAAATAAACATACTGACGTATTTACAGAACAGGCACCCAATAACCATATTAAGGATTTCAGACATTTTTAATGTCACTTCATTTAAAAGAAATTATTCAATTTTCAGAATATTAGAATCTAAGACTACAATCCTGCCACTGGCTCCATGGGGATGGGCTCTTATGCAGACCCATTAAAGCCTGTTACAGGATTTAGGATAAAGAGAGAGCCTTTCACATATTTGGACAAATATTTGTATAAAGACACTACCATTTAGACCAGTAGAGATGGCATTTATTTGGTGCCACAAAAGAGAGAATTAATAAAAAAAAAACATAGTGCAGTGACACATTTGACCTCAGGTCTCCAATTGTAAAAAAACAAACCAATGCCATAAGCCACAGAATCAATACAAACATCCAAAAACAAATCCAGTAAAATGCAGGAAGATAGGAGCTTTCATTCAATTCTTAACCATTTTGAATCTCATTCTGCTAGTTTAAATGTAAAGGAAGCAAATGGACCCTTGGAGGACTGGGTATTGTATGCTCATCAAAATCAAGAAAGAGCCATTTTATGTTTCTTAAAATTATGTATAACCTAGTAGGGAAAATAGTGCAAAAGTATCTCCAATGTTATTACATTTGTCTTTAAGAAGGTTAAATCTTTGCAGCTTGTATTCTCTGTAGTGTCAGGAGTTTGGGAAAAGAACTTATTTGCTTCCTGATTTGTTGCAAAACCTCTTTTGATCATTCACTGATCAAAAAACAAGGGAAAGCATTCAACATAATTCCTGATTGGAAAGACCCATTTGATTTATTTGTTGGTAGTAGCAGTAGTAGTAGTAGCAGTATGACAGTATCATACAGAGACCTAGTCAGGCTTGAGGGTCCCATTGTGCTGGCTGCTGTAGACATACAAAATAAAGAACAGCCTCTACCCCTGAAGTTTTGAAGTCTAAGGCCCTGATCCAGCAGTATTCTTAAGCACATGCTCAATGTTAAGCATTTAAATAGTCCCATTAAAGTAAATGAGATCATTCACATGCTTAAAATTAGCTATGTGCTTAAGAATCTTGCTGAGTTGGGTGGGACATAATAGGCTTACTACAATTGCAGTTGAAGGACTAGCCCAGTCTGTTGTCAGCAAAGGTTCACATTTACATGTGTAAGGTTTCCTCCAAAAAAGCAGGTAAAGATACAGAGGGATTTTCTCCTTCTGAGCCCTCTTTTAAACACAGTATATAGAGATTGGAGGCCCTTGATTTCTTTACCCTTTCCCACAGGTTGAAGGTGCTGGAAATGTCCTCCTGAACAATTGTTTTGAACAACAGTTTTAACTATGTACCACCATCTGTCTTAAATTGATCTTTTTCTTTTAGTAGATTGAAATGATTTTTTTCTCATAAGCTCCATGGAATCATCCTTAAAGATTAGATTCTCATAGCCTTCACTCAGATGTTCAAGGAAATAAGAGGGGATTAAGGCCATCCTGACTCCGTCATTTGCCCGTGCTCAGATTGTGACTCTCTGAGATACAGTTCTTCCTCTCGTCTTCCCCAGGAGTAGAATCCTAGTTTACAATCTAGCCCTAACTGAATTAAGGCCAGATCTAGAACCCAGGTAAGTTAATGGAAAGACTCACATCGACTTCAGTGACTTTGGATCAGGCCATTAGTGCATATAGATGTTAACGTAATGAGCACAATATAAAAACCTAGCTAGATCTCTGGGTTTATAGTGTTATATTGCATATACCCGTGGGCCTGAAACAAGCAAATAAACCAAAAAACCTTCAACCAATAACCCAAGCAGAAAACCCAGAGACTCCATAAAATCCACTAGGGACTTTTCTGTTGCTTTTGATTTTTACGTGGCTTGTTTACACTAAAGCGTTAGGTCGACATAAGGCAGCTTATGTCGACCTAATTATGTCAGTGTCTACGCTACAGCCTTGCTCAAACCAATGTAAGTGCCCTACTACACTGACATGTAACTCCACCTCCACGAGAGGCATAGGGCTTATGTCAGTGTAGTTACAGCGACGCAGTGTCATTGTGAGTTACTTACATTGGCTGTTGGCTGCCTTGTCAGTTTCACAGCTCCATGCTAGAACCTGAAATTGACAGGAAAGTTGGATGGGTGGGTGGGGGGCTTCAGCTAGAGCCGGGCTGGGCCCACGGGGCTCCGCACCAGGCTGGCAGGGCCGGCTCCAGGCACCAGCTTCTCAAGCAGGTGCTTGGGGCGGCCGCTCCGGAGAGGGGCGGCAAGTCCAGGTATTCGGCGGCAATTCGGGGGACGGTCCCTCACTCCGCCTGGGAGTGAAGGACCTCCCACCGAATTGCCGCCGCAGATCGCGATCGCAATCGCGATCGCGGCTTCTTTTAGATTGCGATCCTGGCTTTTTGTTTGTTTGTTTGTTTTGGCTGCTTGGAGCGGCCAAAACCCTGAAGCCGGCCCTGCAGGCTGGGCCGCCCCTGGGGTCCTGGCTTCCTCCCTCCCAGCACGGCTTCTGCCCGGGGGCTCCCTGCTCCCCATGGGGAGCCCGGCAGCCGCCGGGGCTCCCGGCTCCCTGCCGGGAGCACAGCAGCCACCTAGCAGGAAGTGGGTATCTGAGAGCTGGAGGGGATGCCCCCAAGCTACCAGTGAGGACCTGGGAGCCCGTCTGGGAGCGGGGAGTCTCAGGGAAGCTCCTGGACAGGCAGCAGGGAGCCCCAGGGGAGTTCGGCTCCAGGGGGGAGCTATGCACGGAGCTGAGAGTCCAGGCTCTCAGCCCCTCCTCCACAGCCCCTCTTAAATTGGTGGAGTGGCTCCTGGTGAGGACACACACCACCGACGGAAGAAGGGCTGAGTGGACATGAACTACCGCAGTAATTACTGTGGTGGATGTAAGTTGACCTAACATAGGTCGACTTAAGTTTTTAGTGTAGACATGTCCTAAGATAGATAAGCTTGATGCTGTGCATATTGATGGATTCTGAATGGCCTGTAGCGTTTCCACAGGGAAAATTTGAGCATCCAAGTGTTGTGATTCTTCTTCATTCAGCTTTGCCAACTGGATTTTATTGAAAAAGGTCTTGATATTCTTTTGTGTATCTGTAAATCTTATCATAAAAGCTTCTAAACCATAGAATTGTCCTTTTCTATAAGAAATGTTAACTTTACTTTGCAGGATTCAAGTTTATGAGGAAGAGTTTTACTTGACTCATTGCTATGCCATGGCATTTCTACATTCCTTCTTGATTAAATTCATGGTTTTCACTAACATGTGCTTTAGCATCTGCAATGGGGCATCACAGAAATAATGCTGGTCTTTTATTCTAATTGTTGTAGCCTCGTCTGCAGAAGGATATCAGGGTGGCCTGCAATCTTGCCTTCCTGATGGCATTTGCACCTCCCAAAAACATGGATGGCCCCAAACTGCAAACCAAGATGAGCACCTGGACACCTCTGAACCATCAGCTTATGAATGACAAGGTAAGTCCCATACAGCTGAGTCAGATATAAGCCAAATCCTGCTTCCCTTACTCATGTGAGGAGACTTTAATGCAAGTCAGTCAAGAATGATATAGTCCCATAGTTAGAATCCATCCTATTATTTAAAGGTAGATTTTTCTTCTGCGGATGAGCCAAATCTTCAAGTCCTTTATCTCATGGAAGTCACTGGGAGTTTTGCCTGAGTAAGGAATCAGTAATAATTGTTTAAAGACTTGAGGATTTAGCCCAGTAATATTAATTTATGCTGTATTGTGCATAAACTTTCAAAATATAATTCCCTGTGTCTTTTCTTCTATTTTCTTGCCACTTGGGTTACTTTAAAACTACAAATGTCTTTGAATTGTTGAAGGTGCTGGACTGATATCCTTAGGGGCTGAAGTCTTCAGTTGAGCCACAGAACAAGTACAGGACAGACAGGGCAGTGCAGGCTTCACCAAATGGTCAATGTGCTTCATCTTGGACCAGAGAGGTTCGTGATGCGTGGCCACTCTGCTGAGATTCCCGCCAAGGGTGCCAGATATGTTAGAAGTCTTAAGGAGGTGCCCAGTTTATGAGTAAAAATATTTTTTTCCCTAATTTCAAACCCTACCAGCTATAGCTGGGACAAGTGCAGCTGGGCCTTCACACACATCATCACCAGTAATATTCTTTCATCAGAATTTAGTTAAGAATTCCCTTGATAACGTTCCAGAATATAATCTGCTTTCCCATACCTGTGCTGGTTCTGCAGGGCTGACAGCAGGAAAAATAGAAAAAATATATTTATGACCACTAAAACTAACAGATACTACTCTCCGTACACACAGGGAGCAGATCTGTCAAAAGAGAAAGTGCCATTTTTATGTAGTCATTTTTCTGATCTTCTGCACTTTTAAAAGGGATCAGAGTGAGAAGAGAAAGGAACTTTGAGTCCTGAGGGGCAGAGTAGAAGTCCTAATGATAGAATCATAGAAATGTGGGGCTGGAAGGAACCTCGAGAGGTAAAGTAGAAAGAGATTGGAGAAGAGAAAATAGATGCTTAGGATGGTGACTTGTAGTAAAGAAGGCAGTGAGGGACAGGAGTCGGAGAAGATCAGAGTAAAGATAAAGTAGAGTCTTGCAAAGCCTTGAAAGAGAGGACAAGAAGCTCAAACCTGATGTGGAAGAGGAGGAGAAGCCAGGGGACAATTATACTGATTTCTGGTAATTTGTTTCCAGATGCCTGGAGTAAGCAGAGCTTCTTGGCAGAATTGGCTCAGCTGTATTCCTAAGAGTACTGAAAGCAAACACGGTATCTTTCTTTGATCAGAGGCCATTAACATTGCTTTCAGCTATGAAATAACTCCCCTGTTTCACTTAAATTTTCCAAACCAAAACTTAGATCTTTGACTATATATCATTTTCTTGCGGCAAATGTTTTCAAAGTTGAGCCAATAAAAGGCTTACTAGAGGGCCTCTTATATTGCCAAGTGCCTCGTGCAAATAAAACAAAACAAATAATAACTGGAAACATGCAAAGAAAATAAATGTCATTTTTCCACCCCTGCTGAGAGAGTCAGAGTTAGGGTTGACAGTTGGACTGTACCAAATGTCAGCACTGATATTGTCTTTCTCTGCAGGAGTCTTTCTTGCTGGCTGCCAAAACAACATGTTTGGAGTTTGCAATGATGAATAATATTTTCCTAGTTATGGTTAGTAACTGTTTCAATGTGCACTTGTGAGCTGAGTGAATGAGCGTCTCCCCTTTGATCCTTATGACAGAATAGCTACTGTATTCTATGCTTCCCAGTGCACTCTCCTGAGTGATGAAGGCAAGAGTCTGATGCTTTCAGTCTGTGTCCTAGTGGATAAATGCCCACATCACAAAACCACCACTACACTTGGCACTAATTGTGCCTCTGAGTGGTAGTCTCTTCAGACAGGAGCTTCTCGGGAGCGCTGTATTCACTAAAAAAAACAAGCCCTCATATGAATAAAGGGTATAACTGTCAAATGAACTCTTTAAGGCCCTGATCAATGTGAATGGAATAGGTGGACCCATGTGGATCCTGTTGACTTCTGTGGACTCCATATCGGTGTAAGAATTTCCCTGCAAGGACCAGATGGCGGCATCGAGGACTCATGTTTTACAGGATATGTAGATTCTTTTTCAAGCTGGAGTTTTTTCCCTGAGACATACTGAATCACCTCTATGTGTTCTATGTTATTTGTTTCTGTGGGTTTTTTTTATTTTTAAACAGGTATTTGAAGAAAGAAGAGCCTTGCTTGGAAAATGGGTGAGGTTTTCTCTTTAAATGTATGTGTTGGTTTCAGAACTAAGGAAGAGATGACTGGGATGTGAATTTTAAACACATTTCACTTTTCAAACAATGAGACTAATTTTCAGGATATAAGTGTCAGAAATGGACAGAGTGTACTGTTGAACCTCAGGTGAAACATAAAGCGGCTAATTCATTCCTGGCATAACTTCGGAGGGGTCATGAATTTGAGAAATCTGGCCCGGTATTTAGAATGATTTGTAATGGGATGGGAAGCCCAAAGAAAAGTTTATGAAGAAGTCTTCAGCAAAGATGTTTGATGTTTAAGGCTGCGAGTTTCATGGAAGTCATGGATTCTGTGACTTTCTATGACCTCCATGACTTCTGCAGCGGCCAGTACGCCTGGCTCAGGGGCAGCTCAGGCAGTCCCTGTGCCAGTCGCACCAGCTTCTGCTGGGGCAATCTCGGGCCACCGTGCCCTTATCCCCCACCAGCAGCAGAGTTTGGGTGTGGGAAGCGGCAGCGGGTTGGGACACGGGATGGGGTGAGGCGGGCTCTGGATGCGCTTACCTGCGGGGGCTCCCCGGAAGTGGCAACATCCCCTTGCTCAGCTCGTAGGCGGAGGCGTGGCCAGGTGGCTTTGCGTGCTGCCTCTGCCTGCAGGCACCACCTCCACAGCTCCCATTGGCCATGGTTCCCGTGTTTACTTTTGTTTTTGTTTACTGCCTGTGACCTGTCCATGACTTTTACTAAAAGTATCTGTGATTAAAACGTAGCCTTACTGATGTTTAGATAGTGCTATAAAAGGCCAGGAAGGCTTTTTAACACTGGAAATAGATATATAATTAAGTGTGATTTATCCATGATAGTTATATGGCCATGTTACCTGAGTACCTCTCAGTCTTTTAGTGTTATCTTCACAAGATGCTGGTGAGGCGGGGTAGTGCTATGATCCCCATTTTATAGATGTGGAACTGAGGCACAGAGAGACTAAATGAGTTTCCCAAGGTCACACAGAGTCTGTAGCAGAGAAGGTAACTGAACCCGACTCTCCCCAAGTCCCACACTAGCACTCTAACCACTGGAGAACCCTTCCTGTCCTGTAAGGAAAAATCAAATGAATGGAACAGTTCTGGAAGAGCACCTGTAACGGTCATCCTGTGCCAGATGAACAGAAATAAACACACAAGAAAGAAGCATTTAGTGAGAATGAATTCAGCTATGTATATTTGTCATCTTCAATGGTAACTGCATGGTTGAGCTGCATTCAACGCTTTTTCAAAATGTAGCCAGAAGAATAGGTGTTGGGTATGTGGCCCCCATAGATATACAAGTCAAATAAAAGTATAAAAATGATTATGCTTATCTCCACTGTGTTGTGATCCCCAATTCTACCATAATAGCACTGTTTGAGTAGTGTAGCTATATAAGTCTAAAAGGTCACAGGTGTTAAAACTTTTGTGAATAAACTGGTCTGATAAAGACAAATATTTTGTATTTAAGTTCATTATGACTGTTCACAATTACAGGAAACGTGCCTTGTGTAGCTATTTGGCACATGTATGTTTAGATAATAAAGAATGTACTCCAGTTTCAGGAAATAAAATAATTAAGTTCTGATTGTACAAAAATACTTGTTTGCACCAGAGCTCAACAACTGCCAAACACAAAAATTGAATTTTGAAAATTGCAGTTTCTGTTTTAAAATGTTCCCAGAAAATCTGAAAGGAAAAATACAAACGGTTTAGCACGTATGTTACTAGCCACGGGCTGTAAAAGTTGAAAAACTAAAGCCCCCTTCTCCCAAAATGCAATGCAATCTTCTGAAAGGTTAAGGATCTGACACGGCAAATGGTACGTTAGTAACTTTGCTTATGTGCTTAGTTCCTTTGGTCTTGATTCTGCCCTGCCTTGCACCTTTCAACAATATTTACACCTGTGAAAAGTGAGTGTAAAACACAAAAACGTAGGCCACCCCTTGCTCTGCTCATGGCATAAGGACATGTGAGCGGCATGGCTGGAGCACTTTGGGTTTGGGAGGAGACATGGCCAGAATGCACTGGGCTCTGATTAGTCCATGCTGCTGGACAGCTCCATGGGAAGTATGGATAGCATAGCAATCGTCCCCAGCCACCTCCAGAATTCAAAAAGCCACTTTTGTCCCCCTCTCAAGGTAGGCTTATGCTGCAATTAAAAGCAAATATCCCCAATGGGCGGTGATGGGAGAGTAGATGGGGAGGGTTCTGAATCACCAAAAAAGGATTCTCTGTAGTGTCAGGCTGGTGGGTCTTGCCCACATGCTCAGGGTCTAACTGATCGCCATATTTGGGGTTGGGAAGGAATTTTCCCCCAGGTCAGATTGGCAGAGACCCCAGGTTTTATCTGCAGCATGAGGCACAGGTCACTTGCAGGTTCAAACTAGTGTAAATGGTATATTCTGTGTAACTTGAAGTCTTTAAATCATGATTTAAGGACTTCAGTAACTCAGCCAGAGGTTAGGGGTCTATTACAGGAGTGGGCGGGTGAGGTTCTGTGGCCTGCAATGTGCAGTTTAGACTAGATGATCATGATGGTCCCTTCTGGCCTTACAGTCTATGGGTACATCTATACTTACCTCCAAGTCCGGCGGTAAGCAATCGATCTTCTGGGTTTGATTTATCGCGTCTTGTCTAGACGCGATAAATTGATCCCGGATCGATCCCGGAAGTGCTCGCCGTCGACGCCGGTACTCCTGCTCCGTGAGAGGAGTACGCGGAGTCGACGGGGGAGCCTGCCTGCCGCGTCTGGACCTGCGGTAAGTTCGAACTAAGGTACTTCGACTTCAGCTACGTTATTCACGTAGCTGAAGTTGCGTATCTTAGTTCGAAGTGGGGGGTTAGTGTGGACCAGGCCAAAGAGTCTTTACAGTGAGGTTGAGTGGGGGTGATTGGCACAGGAGATGAGAGAGTTTGTCTCTGCTAGAATGTGACACAGTGGCTGCAGAATCCAGTCCTAGGTTTGAGTGCCTGGATGCATGTGATTCTAACTCAGTGATACTCAGACCTCAGCGGTTCAGGAACGAAATTAGCAATCAGCATTACCCAAAAAAGCCGCAGTAGTGTGAATTTATTGTTTCATTTACACACACAAACACACACACACATACACACTCGCTCATAGATATATAATTATTCTCATCATAGGTGCCGACTCTGTGGGTGCTCCGTGGCTGGAGCACCCACGGGAAAAAAGAGCATCCACGGGGAAAAATTAGTGGGTGCTTTGCACCCACTGGCAGCCAAGCTCCCCTCACTCCCTGCCCCACCTTCTTCTCCTCCTCCTCCCCCTCGTATGAGCATGCCGTGTCTGTGCTCCTCCGCCTACCTCCCAGTGTTTTCTGCCCGGCCACTGCCAAACATCTATATGGCAGTGTTCGCACGCTCCAGGAAGGAGGGGGAGGAGCGGGAACATGGCTTGTTCAGGGGAGGAGATGGGGAAGAGGTGGGGCCGGGGCGGGTATTTGGGGAAGGAGTTGGAATATTGGCAGGGAAGGGGCAGAGTTCAGGCGGGGACTTTGGGGAAGGGGTGGGAAGAGGCGGGGTAGGGGCGGGGCTGGGGGCAGATGGGGAGTCAAGAACCCATGGGAAAGAGGTGAAGTCAGTGCCTATGATTCTCACAGCAAAATGACTGACCAAGTATTCTACAACTGGTTAATAACATAGTAAAAACATCCTGATTGGTTACTGACTTAGATTGATTAATAATTAAATCACACAATGTTTTACTATCATGTGCTGCAAAGAGCTGCAGGAGGTGCATTAAAGAAAAACTGAGGCTTGGGAACCACAAGTGGATGTATCACTGGGTACGTCTTCACTTACCGGAGGGTCCGGCGGCAGGCAATCGATGTTCTGGGATCGATCCCGGAAGTGCTCGCCGTCGACGCCGGTACTCCAGCTCGGCGAGAGGAGTACGCGGCATCGACGGGGGAGCCTCCCTGCCGCGTCTGGACCCGCGGTAAGTTCGGACTAAGGTACTTCGAATTCAGCTACGTTATTAACGTAGCTGAATTTGCGTACCTTAGTCCGAAGTGGGGGCTTAGTGGGGACCAGGCCACTGTTCTAACTCCTGTGAGCTAGTATGTCATGTGCATGTGATCATGTCTGCCTCTAATGGTTAGCCTGAGGAACTGTAACAGCTTGCTACTTGAAAGGAGCTCTCCTTCAGCTCAAGTGGTAGAGAGAGAGAGACCCTTCTGTTTCAGTCCTGAAGGTCCTCCTTGGTGCTGTCGCTATTGACGTGCTGTGGTATTGTATATGTGCAGAATTACAGACAGAGAGCCGTATGTTCACTAGTGCAACATCCAAAATAATTTTATATCACATAGTCCTAGTGGAGTCCTTGTTCTCATGTGCTTGGAAGAAGACACAAGAAAGGGGAAAATATTTAGCATTAGAGCAATAGAGAAGGTGCAGCACCTTGCAAAGACTAATCCAGTTAAACTGGTTGGGTTAATGTAATCAAATGCAAGAGGAGGAGCTGTGGCGGAAGGTAAACAAGGGTAAGAGTTGTGTCATTCTTATATGGTTAATACTGAAAAAAGGGACAAATTATGCATGCTTAACTGCTTTGCTGCTGCTGAATATATCACCTTGGAAAAGAAGCGGTGTGCTTCCTGTGCGGCTGACCATATTGCATTAATTTCAGGACAGCGTCCATTTAAAATGCAAGTACAGAAGTCTGCTGGCAAATCCATCAACAAAACAGTTAGGACAACTGGGGATACTGAAGTTATACTTTATTCCAAAATTATGAGAGAACGTAAAGAGTGAATTAGGAGCAAACTTCCTGATCCATTAAAGAATGAGCTAAATTTGTTCCAATCACTTCAAACCAAGCTGCTGGTGTGGAAGACAGTAAACTAGTTAGCTCTTTGTCTTTATTATTTATATTGAATAGAAAATTGGGAATTGTCATTGACTGACAGTTTTATCATCTCAGCGAACATGTTTTTATAGGAGCAAATTGTGAGGTGTCTCTTCACTTTTTACTTAGTACTCTGGCAAAATCTCACTAGAGTTAATGTAATATGCAAAGAGGGGGAAATGGGTTGGTTACCTGCTTTGCTTCTTTATGATGAATAAAAAAGCCTTAAAGTTTGGGCACTTTTTCTGCTTGTTTTGTACCTTATTTTGGAGCTGTCAGGAATGCCAGTTCTGTCCTTTTCTGGTTCTGCAGGAGGACTTGTTGGAGATCTTAGAGATGTGTTTGTGAGAAGGAGTAGGCTGATTGAATCTTTAACAAAGGCATCTTTTCTGATTCTCACATAAGTGAATTAAATAAATCTTAAAAACAATCAAACAACAGTTTTGAACAGTCTGAAAATAAATTGTTTTCCTTCTAAATTAATCAGGTTTCATCTGCATGTGTCTCAATTATCATAATCCCACCAGTTCTCCAGGTATCCATAGAATCTTCCAAGAAAAACAGGGTAGAATTTCTAATATAAAAATCCAGCTGAAAAAAAAAATAGTAAGTTAAGTCTTTCTTATCCATCACAAGGGAACAAACCTATTATTTATTTCCTTGAGATCACCTTTAAGTGAGAACTTCAAATTCCCATTGAAGTTAAGTAAAGCAAGTAAAGACCTCAGGATTTGGCCAATAGAGAATATGTCCTCAGTGCTGGAAAAGTTTAAGAACATAATAGGTCAAGCAGCACCCCAAAGACAACTCAGAAAGCTTCATTCTCAGTGAGCTGATTTGGAGAACAGGTAGGAAGGAGTCCAGTGGCACCTTAAAAACTAACAGATTTATTTGGGCATAAGCTTTCGTGGGTAAAAGTCCTCACTTCTTCAGACACATGGAGAACAGGTGTTATTTCTGCTGATAGGGGACAGGATTGAGTAGTAATCAGTTTAAAATCTGGTAAGAAGCATTTCAGCCCTAGAATACCATCTTTAAATACTGCATTTGTAATGATTACAAGCTCCAATGGGATTCCCATTGTTCCCAACGGTTTGTGGAATGGTCTTCTTACATGTTTTCTAACGTTTGGCACTTTTTGCTGTCCTTTTGTATGGGGCAGGGCTGACCTTGAATTTTCTGACCTGAAGTGCAAGGATTGGCTGTGACTGAGTCATTCCCAGCAGGAAGTTCCTGCTATGCTGTCCCTTTCCATCTTTTACCGCTTACAAAAAGAAAAACCTACTTCATGGCTGTCGCTGCACTAACCCTGTCTACACGTCCCTAGCCCAGCTCTGCTTATGGACTGTCTCACTTCACTGCTCTCTGTACCAATGAATTTGTGATAGATTGGTTACCTAAATGTGCTTGTGTTCCCACAGGTAAGGCCGGAACTTTTTAACCCTCTCCGTACACATCTGTCACAGGCATGTTGTCTTGGAGGTGCTAAGGAGAGGTAGGCTGGAGGTTAGGGTCCTAGCTGAAGATGTGGGTTCAAGTCCCTGCTCCCTCACAGAATTTCTATGTGACCTTGTTTAGGCCACTGATTTCAGTGGAAGTTAGGAGCCTGAATACCTTTGAGGATCTGGGCTTAGTCTCTCTATGCTTCAGTTCCCCTTAGCTAAAATGGGCATAATAGTATTTTTCTACTGCACAGAGGTGTCCTGTGGCTTTAAACACTATATACATGAATGTTTTTACTTCCATGAATAGTCCAATGGAAGTCAACAGCCAGGACTACTGTTGGGAATAAAGAGCCTTACACACACAAGTATTTCCAGATTTGTGCCCTGGAAAATGGATCTTTAAAGACGTTAAGTCACATGTTGCATGCATTTGCAGTTTCTTTTCATTTAGCCTTTACATTTGTCTGTGATTTCCACATCCTTTGCCCTGGAATGATTCATCAGAAGCGATGGCATATGTACTTGCGTTTACCTTGCCTTGAATATTAATCTTATTTTTAAAAAGCTGTATCTCTGGTGCCACAAAACCTGCGTTTCCCTTTTTCAGTTTGACAAGTGGACAGATGGTCAGAGGCGAAGGATCTTGATAGATTTGTTGGAACGCTGCTCCCTGGCGCAGCAGAAATTCTGTTCTAAGCAGTTGCAGGACCGAGTTCCAGTTGAAGCCCTGGATTTCACCACAAAGCTTCCCAGAGTGTTGTCTTTATACATTTTTTCTTTCCTGGACCCCAGGAGTCTCTGTCGATGTGCACAGGTAAAAAGCAGCACATATCTGGAACGTAAAAGCTACTTTCAAGTTAGTTGAGACTTGAGAGGACATGTAAGGAAGCACCTGATTTTTACAATATACTTGTGCCAGTGGCCTTCATAACAGTGCAAGAGACTCTTTATAAGTGCCAATGTAGAAGGAATTATTTGGCCATATAATCTAGTGCACAGAATTGTAGCAAGGTCATGGAGGACTGGGCTAGATGATCTCTATTTCAATGATTCTAGGATTTAAGACCGTGTAAACATTGTGGCCAAGATTTTCAAAAGTGACTAGTGATTTTGGGGTGCCTCCATTTTCAGGAGCCCAACTCGTGACACCTTAAAGGGCTGATTTTTCCAAAGGTGAAGGCTTGGCACTCTCTGAAAATCAAACCCTTTAAGGCATCTGAAGTTGGGCATCCAAAATAAATAGCTGCTTCTGAAAATCTTGCCCTCTTGTCTTGTCTTGTCTTATCTTGCTTTAAAAATCTTTTGAAATGCAAGTATTGTGCTGTGTGCTGGCTTCGGGGGAGCAGAAATGCTCAAAGTGGAGCTTCTGAATAAGACGCTCATTGCCAGGAGGAAGATAGTTTTGGAAACGACTTCCCCAGAAAGGAGGGCCTCAGCAGTGTCAGTAGTGTCACTAATGAGTAAGTAAGTTAATGGTGCATTTAGCCTCAGGCTTGAAGATATGCCATGTGCAAAGTAAATGCCTGGGAAAGTATATAGTAGCACACAGCCCTGGTGAAAAACCTTCAGAACTGGCCAGTCCAACTTGGGGGTCTTGTTTTTTTAAGATAGAAAATACTGAAGGATTTGTTCAGGCTGGAGTCTGTTCACGTGGTGGCAACGCAGGGATGTTTCCTTGGGCAAATTGGTTTCTTCCCTCCTGGCCTGTAATCTCTGAGGGTCACCCCGGTGCAGAGGGCCAGCTAGTGCAAGGCCTCTGCCCCACGTAAATGCCACTTACACCCCACTAACGGGGCCCATGTGTCTCATGCGCGCCTCAGCATGCATCAGGCACATGGGCCATACCAGTGGGGCTTAAGTGGGGTTTAAGAAGTGTCTGGGGCTGGCCTTCTGCATAGGGGTGAATTACACCCCCAGTAAGCAGTCCCTACCCATTTAAATTAAATGCATTGCTGGGTTCCAAGACCTGTGATCTTCTCTTGCAAGTGATTGACATGGTGGGGCTCGCAGTCTGCTTGATGTTACATGAGAGTGTAAGCTGAAATCGTTACGCCTTTGGCATTCACAGGTGAGCTGGCACTGGAAGTACTTGACGGAGCTGGATCAGCTCTGGATGCTTAAGTGCCTGCGTTTTGGCTGGTACATCAACTTCTCTCCGACCCCCTTTGAGCAGGGAATCTGGAAGAAACACTACATTGAGATGGTGAAGGAGCTTCATGTGACAAGGCCCAAGGTATCTCTGTCACTCTGGAAGACATGGAATGGAAGCAGAGAATATCTGAGCATCAGGGTTGCTTCTTTTGGTTTGCCTCTCACTGGACAGTATCACACTTGTCAAACCAAAAGAGGATTCACTACTTAAAATTACCGCTTGGTGCTCGATATCATTCATTACCATGCAATATGCTGCTTCACTCTCTCATCCTCATGGGGAGTCGAGTCAAGCTCTTACTAGCAAGGAGGGAAGATTGGTCCCATTGACTCTCATCCCCAATGCCTCCCCCTGTTCCCCCCACCTGCCCTTCGGGGTAATGTTGTGAAGATTCACCCTCCTGCATTTTGGGCCCTGTGGCCCTCCCCCCAATACACTCCTCCCCTTCCACGCCTTGATTTGGGTCTCCCCACAGCAGAGGGAGAGAGAAGAGATCCCAGCATCATCCCCGCCCCCATCAGCTAAGCTCTGGGGAGGGGGGCAGTGATTTGAATTACATTCCTTCCAAGACTTTATAGGAGACTGGGGTGTGGGAAAAACAAAATGCCTGTACATTGGCCTGCTCTTTGGGTGTGGAGATGGTGACTCACTCTCTCTCTCTCTCTCTGTCTCCAGATGCCACGTGTCATAAGATACCATTAGACAGCACCCTCGTATTCCTCCCCCAAAGCTGGCAGATCTGTCAGTTGGGAGGCCGTGCATTCCCCGATAGTAATTTCTTTATTTTGAGATTCATTACTAACAATGCCCAATGGGTGGGAATGTGGCTGGGTGCTGAGGTTTATTTCCCCCATCCGTCTCTCTCCCATTAGACCCCTCCAAAAGATGAATTTGTGGTCATCGATGTCCAGCCAATAGCAAGAGACGTCCCAGAGACAAAACTATCCCTTTCCTCGGTTCTCCAATCAGCATCTGTGATAGGAAAGAGGACAGACAAGGAGAAAAAAGAGCTCCCACCATGGCGGTCCTCGGATAAACATCCCACTGACATTGTCCGATTCAACTACCTAGACAACTACGATCCGATCGAGCAAGTGAGGCAGGCGTAAGACGCTCCCGTCCTTCCTTTCTGCATTTTCTGTGGCATGGTAAAGGTAGCTGGCACTAGTAGGAAGAAGGAGGCTATTGGTGTCTGCTCAGGGGCATTTCTGAATAATGCAGCAAGGTTTAAGGGATTGTGCAGCTCTCACTAACAGAGAAAAATAAACATACCGCTGGGAAGCTACTAAACACATTATCGATGTGGGACCATGATGGCTCAAAAGAGATTTACATGCATATACACCGCTACCTCGATATAACGCGACCCGATATAACACGAATTTGGATATAACGCGGTAAAGCAGTGCTCTAGGATGGGGGGGGGCAGGGCTGCGCACTCCAGTGGATCAAAGCAAGTTCAATATAACGCGGTTTCACCTATAACGTGGTAAGATTTTTTTGGCTCCCGAGGACAGCGTTCTATCGAGGTAGAGGTGCAGGGCCGGCTCCAGGGTTTTGGCCGCCCCAAGCAGCCAAAACCAAAAAAAAAAAAAAAAAAAGACCACGATCGCGATCTAAAAAAAGCCGCGATCGCGATCTGCAGCGGCAATTCCGCGGGAGGTCCCTCACTCCCAGGCGGAGTGAGGGACCGTCCGCCGAATTGCCGCCGAACACCTGGAACTGCCGCCCCTGTCCGGAACAGCCGCCCCAAGCACCTGCTTGAGAAGAGGGTGCCTGGAGCCGGCCCTGTAGAGGTGTATCTAAAAAAGAACGACTAGTACCTGCAGTTACACTGTCTAGGATAGACTTACAGGAGCAATGAGTCCTCGTGCTTCAGGGCATTATCTGGTCACCTCCTGGGGTCAGAAAGACACTTTCCCCCATGGTATAATAACTCACAGCAAAGCGCATTAGGGCAGCTTCATGGTTTCTTCTGACGCATCTAGCAGTGGCTATTATTGGAGAAAGAATAATGGCTCAGCTGGACCACTGGACTGTCCTTGTGCAGCAGTTCCTGGGAAAAGAGACTCAAGAATGTCTTGAATCCCACCCCCAGCTATGCATCTGGGGAGAAATTCCTCCTTCTGCAGTGGGCCAACAAAAGTCCGGTAAACCAGGTAAGTCCCAATGAAACCCTCAACGTTCATTGACCTTGTGTTGGCCCTCTGCAGTGGTGAATTTCACCCTAGGTGCATAGCCACTGTGAGTTTCAGTCCTACCTAGTACCCGTGTGGGCTAATGCTAATGTACTTGCTTGGTTCTTTTTGAAAATAGTTATGCTGGATGGACCCATCCTGGACATTTCAGAAATTCCCCAACTCCTAGTGAAATCCTATTATGGATCATTATCCTTAATCCGCATCACCTCGTCCTAGGGTTTAACATTGCTTCAAAGAGCTTTCTGCATTCAATTTCACCCTCTTTCTTTAGCACCTTTCAAAAGCCCAGTCCCATCCTTCTTGGTAGAATTGACTGAAGACTTTATTAACCTCCTTTAACCGAGATACTTGTCCTTACAGATGGGTATTATTATTTTTTATTTGTAGTAGTAAATATTTATACTATGGTAGGATTTACACTAGTCAGTCTGGATCAGGACCATGTTATACTAGGTGCTGTACAAAATCAAGAGACAGTTTTGCTTTGAAGGGTTTACAATCTAAAGTCACAATGAGGCTAAGGGATGTGTCTACAGCATTCAAACAGATGGAGCAGGTTCTGAGTCGCTAATGGTGGAATAAGTATAGGGAGTATTTATTCCTCCTGGGCAGGGTTTGAACCTGTGAACCATTTGTGCTATTTCGTGTGTAATGTTCTACCAAGCCCAGCTGTAATTACCAGGGATTATTTCAAGGAGAGAAATGAATTCCATGAGATTTGCTTGTTTATCAAAGATCTCCCTTTAATATCACTTAAGCTGTAAGTTATTTTTACCACGTGGTCGTCTCCATAATGCCTGTTCTGGTTACGCAGTAGCACAGGTGTGCTGGTTTAGGTATCAATATGACTTTTCGCTTGGGTAACCCATAGTTAGGTATTTCTTTTCCTTGGCTCGATCACTGGCAGAATCCACTGCTGCAGACCCTTCTCTGAGCTATTCACGCTTGAGGCTGTATATCGTGACCACCATCCTTTAGGCTCAGGAAGACTGGCTGAGACTATGGGTACATCTACACTACAGGGGGGAGTCGATTTAAGATACGCAAATTCAGCTACGTGAATAGCGTAGCTGAATTCGACGTATCGCAGCCGACTTACCCCGCTGTGAGGATGGCGGCAAAATCGACTTCTGCGGCTTTCTGTCGACGGCGCTTACTCCCACCTCCGCTGGTGGAGTAAGAACGTCGATTCGGGGATCGATTGTCGCATCCCGACGGGACGCGATAAATCGATCCCCGAGAGGTCGATTTCTACCCGCCGATTCAGGCGGGTAGTGTAGACCTAGCCTATGTTGTGCAATTCTGTTCCCTGATCAGTCAAGGAAATTATTGTGGAAGCAAACCAGGCCCTCCCGCAGGGTCGAAGTTGCTTACTACTATTTACTGTTTGTATTAGTATAGCCCTGGGCATGGACCAGGACCCCACTGCACCAGACACTGTACAAACACAGAACAAATAATCAGTTCCCGCCCCCAAAGCGCTTGCAATGTAAGTACAAGGACAACAGATGGATACAGACTTCGTACCTAGCTTCTTATCACTCAAGGCCAATTGTCCTAGGAAGTGACACACCAGCACCGGGTACTGTCACTGGGTAAAGCCTCTGTTTTTAACCTCCATGTGGTCATGTCAGCAGCACGCAACTGTCATTTGTCAGCAGCGTGGTTTGGTCCTGGAAGGCAGGGTGTAGGGGGCAGGTGCTGTGGGGGAGGTCTAAGTCACATCTGCATGTGAATGAAGCCCTTGCTCTGTCCCCGTGTAACTTCTCTCTGTTTTCGCATATGATTATGGTTAATATTGCTCCATAAGTGTGCATGCTGTCGCATAGTAAGAGAGCAAACTAAGACAGAAGTCTCAAACTCCCAGGCTGTTTTTTGCATTGATCTGGCCTCCTGCCTTTTTAAGATTTAAGAAAAGAAAATGTTTCTAGTCTTTACAGTTTGAAAAAAAAACTTTCTAACCATGACCCGATTCTGTGCTGTCCTCCTGAATCCGCAGACAGGTTGAAACAAAAGTTCTTGAGAGAGGTGGGAACTACTCCCATTCATTGTCATAGGGGGTTTTAATTCAGCAACCTGTTGCCATTTAAATGGTAACATTGTAACCAATTTCACTGCGACTCTTTGTAGCAGAAACATTCAACTAATCCACTCCTTCCCCATCAGTGTCCCAGAGGGCACAGCTATTAATGGTGGAGTCCTGCCGGGCTTCCATTTCTCCACTCGATTCTCAGTCACTGGGCCCAGGTAAGGCAGTGGGAACAAACAAGCTGCTTTCTGGGGGGCCCTTCTTGCTGTCTGCTCAGGAGGGCACAAATCTGTATAAAAACAAATGGACTGATGGGGGTCACTGGTTGGAGTGCAATCATAAAGGGGCTTCATGAAAGAGAGGGATGATAGAACTTTGAGCACGTTAAATGAGAGGCATTGGGACATGTGGGGTGGGGTGGAAGATGGCACAGAGTCAGGCGGGAATGAAGGAGACAGAGGGAGAAGTGAGGAAGAGTGGGAAGAGAGACAAAAGGATGGCAGGAGTTGAGTTATGGATTGCCTGGAAGGTATTATCAAAACTCCTTGGTGGAGTTATAGCTGTGATTTATACTGATGCTTATCTGTCTGTGTAATCTGTCATCATCATGATATCTCTCAGGTATTCTTTCTATGTCTTGTTTTCTACCTGAACCTTCCAGGTAGTCTTTCACTTAGGTACAAACGAGGGCAGATATTAGTGAGAGTGGTTTTGTCTATTCTAGGGCATTAAGCAATGTTGCAAAGATGAAATGATACATTTTCATAGGAGACTTGGAACCAAAATCTCTCTGACTCCATTCTGACTGGGAAGGAACAGGAGAGTTTCTTTAATCCATTTGCACAGTTCTGCTGGAAGGCATCTGGTGTTGTGCAGCTTGTTGCCAATAAATCAACAGTTTTCTCTCCCATTTTATCATGGATAAAGAATTCTGCTTCCAGTGCAGTGTTGGAATCCTGCCAGGTCTGTGGCCCATGACTCAGGAAGGAGTCCTGCTACTTCTCATGATGGCAGGTCAGCTGAAATGAAGGCTGGCCCCCTCATTCTGGCCTCTGGAAGCCAACACTAACTCAGATCATTTGTGGACACAGGCAGGCTCTAAAAACAATTGCATATTGTGCCGGAGCGTTTAACCAATAAGAAAATAATTACTTGAAGTAATTGTTCTGTCAACAGCCTAGGCCCAGCTTCTTACAGAACAGGGATCGCTCTCGTGTGAAGGGAACTCCATTGCACTGGACCTATTCATTGTGACATCACACCCTGTCACTCAGATCTCTCTACAGCTAGCCCAGCACTCATCCATCATTTGTCATGGCTGTGCAAATTAAACCACCTGTTAGAGACAGGCAGATGGATAAACTCTGAGTAGAAGACTGGGCTGTCACTGTTTCATTTCTTCATAAATCCTTTTATTTTTTAATAATGTATTTTAAATGAATAGGCTCATATGGGTGCTGTCACTCCCCTCTACTGGATGGAATCAGAACTGCCCAACCATGTTTCATAGGCTCAATACTTTTAACAGCTTAGTTAAGCTTCTTCTTTGGCTCAAGTGGTAGGAGCCTGTGCTTTTGGACCAGGAGAACCTGAACAACAGAACGTTGAAAGCTGACCAGATTCTTCACAATGAATAACATCTTAGATGGATTTTACCTCTTGGCGGTCCGTAAATTGTCTGCAAACAGTTTGATTTTCTTAATTTGTTATTTAAAGTCATGTGCCTAATAAATTCTGTGAATGGTTCTTGGTCTTCAGATTGTCTGTGAGCAGTTCCTTGTGAATATGCAATATCTGAACGGTGTTAGTTGGTTTTGAAGGATATGCAAGTCACATGATGGATGAGTGCAACTCTTAAAATCAGGTTTCTGGCATGAAGTCATATGATTTTGAATTCAAAATGTTCCTTTTAGGCTTTTATTTGTTCGTAAGATGAGATATGATGGTGATGTGTGTGGTTTAAGAATCTGGACAGAATAGGAAAGTATAGCCTTAAAATTTGCTGTTTCTGGGGAAAATTCTGCCTGTGAAATTATTCACTAGACTACTTGCAGAGACTGAACATAAAAGGAGAATCAATGTAGTCAAAGCAAATTTGCTGAATAATCCACATGAATATTTGCAGAAAATTGTTTGTAGTATTCATGTGACTCTAGTTGTGTCCTTGCTGTTGGTGTGAAGTTCCAAGTGGTCATGGGGTACAGCATACTGACTGCTCTGAAGTCCTAGGAAACTAGGTTTGGTACAATCATGTAGGGAAATTTTCTGTCAACCAGATACAATATTCCTTCATCCAGGTTCCAGAGAGTAGGAAATTCCCATCCTGCCAATTGATTATATTAGCTTTTATAACAGCTCCATAAGGACACACACAGAAGAAGATTTCTCTGGTTGTATAAACAATGACTCATAGGAGAGTCTGGCAGACTAGGGCCTCGTCTGTACTACAAGCTACATTGGCTTAACTAAAGGTGTGTTCTCAAATCAATTTAGTTAAACTGGTGCACACCCCAGGTGAACATTTATTTATACTGATTTAGTTGAAGTTGGTAAGGAGTCGATTCATGCTAACGATATAAGCCAGGTTTAAATTGATTTTGAGTGTTCATGCAGGGGTTTGCATCAGTTTAACCTAATCAGTGTGAAAACACACCTTTAGTTAAATCAGTACAGCTTGGAATGTAGACAAGGGCTAGAAGCCAGCTTAGTTTTATGGGGCTGGTTCTCCACTCCCTTGCCAGTATATTTGGCACCCAGATTGCACAGGTGTATGTCACTACATAAGATGCCAGGGAGTGTAGAGTCAGGCCTGTGTAGTTAAGATGGCCTGTACATTAAATGTGTGCAGTATCAGAGCCCACATTTCAAAAGCATCTTTGTTTTTGCCTTCTGGTAAACGACTGACTCTTCATTTCACACAGAGAGATGCAGGGAGAGAGGTGTGATCTATACATTACAGTACAATACAACTTTATTTTGTATCTTTAATACAAACTGTGTCCCAAAATGCTTTAAAGAGTTAAATTATAGTAATGGAAGAGAGCAGTGTACAGGTTTAGATAGGGCAAAGGAGAAAACAGGAGAGTGGATGAGCCACAGAGATACAGGAAGACTGTTACAGATGGCGAGAGCTGCAGAGAAGAGCGCTCTCAAGCCTACATTGCATGAGAAGGGATTGGGGAGACAGATGATATTGCTAGCAAAGGAAGCCTGACCTAGATCTGGGTTCTCTCTCAAGTTTTCTTTGTATTTCAGTAGGGATTCCTCCTCTTCTCAGTTAACACTATTCCTTTCCACTTTGCAGTAGAAAGAAAGGAGGAGGACTTACCCCAGACCTCAGCCGGCAAGCATTTGAGAAAAAAAGGAAACCGAGCTGTGCATCTTATAAGCTTCGGAAAGCAAAATCACTGGCAAGTATCTCTAGACCCTGACTTTATCAACACAGGTCCTAAGTCCTGTTGGCATCACAGAGACTTGGTGAGATAATACGCATGACTGGAATATTGGTATAGAAGGATACAGCTTGCTCAGGAAAGACAAGCAGGGAAAAAAGGGAGGAGGTGTTGCCTTATATATTAAAAATGTATACACTTGGACTGAGGTTAGATGGGAATAGGAGACAGACTTGTTGAAAGTCTCTGGGTAAGGATAAAAGGGGTAAAAGCCAAGGGTAGTGTCGTGGTAGGGGGTCTACTACAGACCACCTAACCAAGAAGAAGAGGTGGATGAGGGTTTTTGAAACAACTAACAAAATCATCCAAAGCACAGGACTTGGTGGTGATGGGGGGACTTCAACTACCCAGACATCTGTTGGGAAAATAACACAGCAGGGCACAGATTGTCCAACAAGTTCTTGGAATGTATTGGAGACAATTTTTTATTTCAGAAGGTGGAGAAAGCTACTAGGGGAGAGGCTGTTCTAGATTTGATTTTGACAACTAGGAAGGAACTGGTTGAGAATTTGAAAGTGGAAGGCAGCTTGGGTGAAAGTGATCATGAAATGGTCGAGTTCATGATTCTAAGGAATGGTAGGAGGGAGAACAGCACAATAAAGACAATGGATTTCAAGAAGGCAGACTTTAGCAAACTCAGGGAGTTGGTAGGTAAGATCCCATGAGAAGCAAGTCTAAGGGGAAAAACAATTGAAGACAATTGGCAGTTTTTCAAAGAGACATTATTAAGGGCACAAGAGCAAACTATCCCACTGTGTAGGAAAGATAGGAAGTATGGTACGAGACCACCCTGGCTTAACCAGGAGAGATGTTAAATGATCTAAAAATCAGAAAAAGAGTCCTACAAAAAGTGGAAACTAGGTCAGATTACAAAGGATGAATATAAACAACTAACACAAGTATGTAGGGACAAAATTAGAAAGGCCAAGGCACAAAACGAGATTAAACTAGCTAGAGACATAAAGGGTAACAAGAAAACATTCTACAAATACATTAGAAGCAAGAGGAAGACCACAGACAGGGTAGGCCCATTATTCAATGAGGGGGTGGGGGGAAACAATAACAGAAAATGTGGAAATGGCAGAAGTGCTTAATGACTTCTTTGTTTTGGTTTTCACCAAGAAGGTTGGTGGTGATTGGACATCTAACATAGTGAATGCTAGTGATAATAAGGTAGGATCAGAGGCTAAAATAGGGAAAGAACAAGTTAAAAATTGCTTAGATAAGTTAGATGTCTTCAAGTCACCAGGGCCTGATGAAATGCATCCTAGAATACTCAAGGAGCTGACTGAGGAGATATCTGAGCCATTAGCAATTATCTTTGAAAAGTCATGGAAGACGGGAGAGATTGCAGAAGACTGGAAAAGGGCAAATATAGTGCCAATCTATAAAAAGGGAAATAAGGACAACCTGGGGAATTACAGACCAGACAGCTTAACTTCTGTACCCCAAAAGATAATGGAGCAAATAATTAAGCAATCAATTTGCAAACATCTATAAGATAATCAGGTGATAAATAAGAGTGTGGATTTCTTCAGAACAAATCATGTCAAACCAACCTGATAGCTTTCTTTGACAGGGTAACAAGCCTTGTGGATGGGCGGAAGAAGTAGGCGTGGTATATCTTGACTTTAGTAAAGCTTTTGATACTATCTCCTATGACCTTCTCATAAACAAACTAGGGAAATGCAACCTAGATGGAGCTACTATAAGATGGGTGCATAACTGGTTGGAAAACTATTCCCAGAGAGAAGTTATCAGTGGTTCACAGTCATGCTGGAAGGGCATAATGAGTGGGGTTCCGCATGGATCCAGGGCCGGCTTTAGCAAGCCCCGCCCCCAGGAATCGAGCCACGCTCCGGCCGGGGTCGGCCGGGGTCGCCGGGCTCGGGTCCGTCCCTGAGCCGCTTGGCGGCGAAAGCCGAGCAGAGCCGCGGGGGCTGGGC